CTCAGGCGGGAAAAAGTCTACGGATGTCACTGTGTCTGTGAAATGTGTAGTGAAACAGCCACTTAATTGGTCTCCATTGGAAGCCCGAGTGACAACATAGGCGCACAATTGGGCTACAGGGACAAATAGTTGTCACCCACTAAACACAAAGTACCTGAACAAGGACCTTCATGGCAGGATTGCCAGCACTGGCGGATCGGAGCGGGAGGGGGGAATCCAGCCCCTCCCCTGTCACGGCAGAGAGCCATGACGGGATCGAGAGGTGAGCGAAAGCGGGTATGTGTTCGCTCACTTCCCGATCTACTGAGCCGACCTGTGACAGTCTCATTGTCACAGGTCGGCTAGAACTATGAGGTGAGTGAAAAGCACTCACCTCATAGTTCTCCTTTAAATGTATCGAAAATCACTTTTGAAATTTTATTTACATGTTAAAGGTCTTATAAGATGTAATGATTGAATTTACATACGTTCCATGAACTTGTCCAATGGGCACTCCATGAACTTGTCCAATGGGCACTCCATAAACTTGTCCAGTGGGCACTCCATGAACTTGTCCAATGGGCACTCCATGAACTTGTCCAATTGGCACTCCATAAACTTGTCCAGTGGGCACTCCATAAACTTGTCCAGTGGGCACTCCATGAACTTGTCCAATGGGCACCCCATAAACGTGTTCAGTGGGCACTCCATAAACTTGTTCAGTGGGCACTCCATGAACTTGTCCAATGGGCACCCCATAAACGTGTTCAGTGGGCACTCCATAAACTTGTTCAGTGGGCACTCCATGAACTTGTCCAATGGGCACTCCATGAACTTGTCCAATAGGCACTCCATGAACTTGTCCAATAGACACTCCATGAACTTGTCCAATGGGCACTCCATGAACGTGTTCAGTGGGCATTCCATAAACTTGTCCAATGGGCACTCCATGAACTTGTCCAATGGACACTCCATGAACTTGTCCAATGGGCACTCCATGAACTTGTCCACTCTTCTCTGCCCAGCCCAAGTTCACTATTATAAAGAGCGGAGTAGAGAAGAGCAATAGGCAAATCAAAAGGTGATGGCACCTGGTCAGTGCATAGAACAAAGGCAATCAGGACAGGTTTTTAACCTACCCAACTGACTACATCCCCCATCCATTAAAGTGACCAGACAGCAGGCTTGGATGTCTGCCACAAATGTGATGACCACCCATTCAAGCTAGATTGGGTTACTGCCACCTTAAGTGTATGGGCACCCTTGCTAATCCCAATTTTCCAGCAGTAAGGCATTATAGTTAAAGCTTTGCAGAAAATAGTTTGTGTCAGAGACTGCAGCATATTCTACACATAGAATACTCCTTTATAGTTCTGCGCTGGGGGAGCCCAGCAGATTTTTTTCACAGTCGAGGGTCAGAAGAAGTACGCACACAGATAACTTTAAATGCCATTGATGTCACACAATTTAAGTGTGATAACTATGAAGAAAAGGTGATGACTACACACACAGCATGCATTTGTAGCTTGGACATAATGCTTTGAAAACAGCAGGACATGGTTGTGTTAATGCAATTCAGAGTCTGTGCAATTTAGTGATTTAACATTTACGCTACAGTGCTTGGTATATAGTCAGGGATGTTTTGAGTTCTGCGCACCAGTGAACTGCTCCCTCCTGGATGGAATATACTGTATGTGCTGTGCTGATAAAGTGTGTGTGTGCGCATACGTGTATATAGAATTTCATATATTAGCCTTTGCTTACAATTATAGATTGCAAGCTCCCTTGGCCAGGATCTTGCTGCATCTTGCTAAACTGTATTGAGAGAGAGAGAGAGAGAGAGACACCCCACCCCATTACAGTAAGTGGGCAAGGGCTAAATGCTCATCAACTCTATGGATAGAGGCAGGGCCGGATTTACATTTTGGCCACCTGTAGGAACGAATGGAAATCAGTTTAGCCTGCCTGAGCCAGTGCCCTTAGCTGCTGCAGGACTTTCACATATGCAGAGAAGGACCCTGGCATCGCGTACGGCTGCCCTAAACACCTGTCCACATCAGACAGGCGTTTCACAGGGCAGCACTATACAGCGCTGGGGTCCTTTCCCTGTGTTTGTGGAAGCTGGAGGTTCCTGTAGGTGCTGCTGGTCTTGGAGCAGGAGGGTCCAAGGAGAGAATGTACCCTCCTTGCTATTGCCGGTGTTGTATCTGGGAATTGGGCAGAGTAGGTACCTGCACAACACCCCTCTATGGAGGACGCTTGTAGGCACATGCCTAATCTGCCTAATGGTAGACACGGTCCTGGGAAGAGGTCACAGGGAATGAATACATGTTAGTAAGGAGATGCAATTCAAGTAAATGCTAGAGAGCATGAACATATAAAAGTAACCATTTCTACAGTATTCCCGTAGTATCAGTGGTCACATTTATATGCTCATTCCCTCCAGTGGTCTTTTGAATTGTAACATTGTATCTTCTTACTAACGTGTATTTATTTCCTATAATCCTCGGCTCCACCAAATGGCCATATTGTGGATTTTGCCCCATTTTCACAATGGCTGGTTACGTCGCATAGAACTTACGTACCTGCAGTTCAGCTGGACGAATAAGCTATGAAAATTTTTTTCTAAGCAGACCCCTAAATGTCCTTAGCCAGTAGAGAATGTTAATTTCTAATGTGAGAATCATTTTTTGGCGGCACACTTACGAATTTGATCATGGCGGGAGGAGGGGGAGCCTCTCTTTGATATATAATTTCATTGACCCTTTAAGCAACTTTTTCATCCACAGCGCGCTGTATTTTATTTGGATTAAACACCGCGAACGCAAGTACGTTTTTCTAACCTGCCAGCATTCCTCCAGCCACATCATTTCCAGGATGATTTAATGAGCAACTGCACGCCTGTTAATCTGCCTTATTACTGCACATCAGTTGGTTTCATAACACGGGCGGTAGTACGTACGCAAGAACATTGCCTATTAGAATACATTATACATCATACACATATAAATATCAGGCCCTGCCGGGAGACCGGACCCTCTAGTTCGTTACTAACACACATGACGCTGCCGTGATGCAGCCAACAACAACAGGAAATTGGACCCGTTCCTTAGAGCGCACTTTGCCGCAGATCTCATTACCATTTCAGCGCCATAATGTGTAAATTTAGACCTGTGACATTTTGCGTACATGTAAACTTCTTAAAGGATTTTTTTTTAGGGGTTACATAACTTTTAATTTCATTGCCCTTTTTCTTGATATCTTAACATTATTTTAAAGTTGTGGCGCCTATTAAGAAAAGGTCGAAATCACTTTTTTTTCTGCGTCATAAACTTTGACAATTTTTCCCTTTTTTCATGAAACACTGTATTCACTTTCTTCTCAGTACTACTGATCTCCATCAGCAAGCCAAGCCAATTTAAGCCATTTCCTGTCTACATGCACATGCTCCAGCATTGGCTGCACATAATGGCCCTAGACCAGCTTTCTGATGTTGACAACGGTGGACCATGCTCGCACAGTGTGTGTTGGCACGGCCACTTGTAGTCTTCATCAGGGCATATGTGACAACACAGGAGCAGAATTGGGAAACATAGCAGGAGGTGCCTAAACAAGGGTCTTCATGGCAGGATCTAGGATTTGACCTCTGTTTAAAGAAAACTTCAAATTAAAAATGTTAACGTTTACTTTTATATAATTGAGTACAGAATTTTCCACTTTGTGTCGCCCCGTCAAAGATATTGTTTCCTGTGCAGAACTCCAAGCAAAAGTCATAATCTCAGAAATGATATACTGTACCTATATGTCCTGACTTCCTCTCAAAGCCATAAGCATACTACATGTGCACACTTCAATCCCCCCATCTTAAAATCATAGCATCAGAGCAGTGGTATGCATCCATCTGATAGATGACCTGCAAGGTCCTCTCAAACAAAACTGTAGACCACGTGCGAGGAATGATGAGCCATCACTCAGTTCCCTCCTCCCGTAAGCACATGTGCACTGCAGGCTGTCATAAGCATACTCCACGTGCACACTTCAGCGCCCCAATCTTAAAATCATAGCAGTGGTACGCATCCATCTGAAAGGTGACCTAACAAAACTGTAGACTGCAAGGAATTATACCAAACCTACTGAAAGAGGTTTTGAGTTTACATACAGATTAAGCTAAACTAAGCAGTAATTCTAAGTATTTCATAGGTAAGCCTAAAGATTTATAATAATTTCAGACTGAATATTCAGATTCTTGCATAAGCCCAATTGTGACTGGTTCTTGTTAAGGCAAATAAAATGGCAACCATTGTGACATCCCACTGTGTTCTTATTAATTGGGTAACAATCTGCATATCAAGTACTGTTTTTCATGTCTCTGTGGTCCTCATGTTGTTGCAGTGGAATAGTGGCTGGTAGAAAGTGATTGATGAGGGCAACACAGATAACATTTACATTCATGCTTTTTGCGATGTAAGATCTAAACAGTATTTCTTGTCTGATTTCAGGAGATTACTTTGGAATCTTAATGGATAAGAAAGTCACCGGCTTCCCGTTCAATGTCATTGAAAATCCAATGTACTGGGGCAGCACAGCAAATTACCTGGGGCTAGCTTTGATGTAAGTCTATTTTATTTTTCAAATTAAGGCAAGCATTTAAATACACATTGATATTATACACATGGGGGACTGTTATATTACCTACCAAAGAATTTATAATCACAGTCTTGTGATCCAGACACCCCACTGGATAGCATAGCTAGATCTTGGAACTCTCTGTTGTAGCATAAACCCTTCATGAAGAATACTCCCCCAGCCTACCGATTGGACAGTGATGAGCCATCGCTCAGCTCCCTCCTCCTGTCAGCACATGTGCACTGCAGCAGAGCCTGATTGGTCTCAGGGTGCTGACCACAAGAAGGCTGATTTTAGGGCCTGTTCACATGAGTTTTAGGTCCGGATCAGGTGCGGATCAGCAGACGCGCTGCTATGTGTTTTGCCGTGTTTTAGCTGCGTTCCAGTAAAAATAACAAATAAACATTTTTATTTTTTTCTGGAGTGGGGCTGTCAGTATGTTAGCTGCAGTGCAGTGCGTTTTTGACGCATTTTGATACGTTTTTGATGCGTTTTGCATTTCTGGACCGTTTCCTGACCGTACAAAATGTGACATGCAGTATTTTTCTGTCGTAACCTGAACGGACTGCGCACGTGAGAACTGTAGCCCATAAAACACATAGGGATACATTGGGATGCATTTTTAGTGCAGTAGCGTACGGATCAAGTCAGCACACAAAACGGACGTCATGTGAACAGGCCCTTAAAAAAATATTCAGACACTGGTTGCATTAAAAAAATATATTTACTTATCAAATGAATACATAATTATTGGTGTTTAGAAGAAAAACTGGTGCGTTAATTATAATATGTAAGTTGGCCTTGCCACATGGCCCCATCAAAGTCTATGGGGATTTGCCAACTTTTAAGCATGCTTTAGAGTGGGCAGGGACTGTATACCACCAAATTAACTTGTTTGTTCCAAAGCTTCCTTATTTTTCTGCAACCGGCGGGGAGGAAAAGCTGGTAGGTCTTCAGTACCGGCCTTAGTCTCCTTTCTCTTCATGCCTACCATACCCTTGTTTTTTCTGTTGCAACGTCATAATTCCCCTGCCTGGATTTACCCTCCGTCATCTTCCAGAACTGGGTTCCCGCTCTTCTTGTCCTCTGACCACCTGTACCTGTGCAGCACCCAGCCTGCTTGCTGCCGTCAGGGATCACACCCCTTAGATCTCTTGACCTATTGAGAAATCATCATCATGAGCATCATTGTGTGTTATCCAAAGATACCACATGACCTGGACTTTTAGGGCTAAATTAGGTATCTAGGCAAATTTTTGCATGGAAAATGTGCATTCGCATGCAGAGTATGAGTGGAGAGGAGGGGGGGCGGTTAGGATAAGCTTTTGTACACCTCCTGGAATCCAGATTTAAGCTCACCTGGTGTGCATGGCAGCTAATTCTAGAAAGTACATTGTCTAATTATTGTTCTCGTTAGCAAATTACTAACTGATTTAATGTATATTTTTCTGCAGTTACAGTAACCAGGTCCCAGTTACCAAGGGACTCGCCGCTAGGTTGTTCAGTAATGAATTAATGCCTTGTAACCAAACCCTGGCCTTTGGGGGGCTCGTAGAACAATTCATCAATTATAGCAATCGGCAGCCATGTAAATTTGTTCCCATTTGCATCAATACATCAAGCAGCTGATAGCAGATTAGTATTAGTACAATCAGGCCTCTCTAACAGCTTCTGACAGGAGATGTAATGAAATCAGAACACTGCCAATTGTAATGACACTGTACCCAGCAGCTTCTGTATAAGTAGTTTGCGCTCTGTGCCAGAAATGGTACTTCATGTAAGTGTAACAGGTCTGTCTCCAGAGGATGCAGACATATTTTTATAAAGAATTACAAGAGTACACAGAGATATACTTTGTTCACAACAGGGACTTCTTAGAATCACCTTTAGCTAAGTTGGGACCAGTTCCAAGTTTGGCTGCATAAATTACTAACAAGTCACAATATACAGCAACCGTTCTAAACAAAATGTACTTTTGTTCATTAAAAATCCATCATCGAGCTCCAATACAGGTCTGTTGTATCTATTTTCCTGAAGAAGGAACAAAGATCCTTCCGAAACGTGCTGAATAAAGCTCTAGAAGCATATCTACATGTTCCACTTGCATCATAATCACTGTATGGGCGTATCATTATGATTATTATAATACAGGATTTATATAGCGCCAACAGCTTGTGCAGCGCTTTACAATATAAGGAAGACGTTACAATCACAATACAATGCATGACAAGATGGTAAGGAGGGCCCTGCCCCAGAGGGCTTACAATCGAAAAGGGAGGGGCAAGTGATACATGAGGAGGTAGCTGTGTGGGGATGAATTGTTTGAGAAAGTGATAGTTCAGTGGTTAGGTTGAGGCGGGATAGGCTTCCCTGAAGAGATGAGTCTTTAGAGATCACCTAAAGGCAGTCAGTGTGGGAGATAGTCAGACAGGTTGGGGTAAAGAGTTCTATAGGATGGGAGAGACTCTAGTGAAGTCCTGGAGGCGAGCATGGGAGAAGTTGATGAGGGAGCTGGAAAGCAGGAGGTCTTGCAAAAAGCGGAGGGGACGGTTAGGGTGATACTTTGAGACAAGGTTTGAGATATAGCCGGGGGCAGAGCTGTAGATGGCTTTGTAAGTCGTTGTTAATATTTTGAATTTTATCCTTTGGGCTATTGGAAGCCAGTGCAGGGATTGGCAGAGGGAAGTTGCAGACACTGAGCGGTTAGTTAGGTGAATGATTCTGGCAGCTGCATTCATTATAGACTGAAGGGGGATAGCCTGTGTAGAGGCAAGCCAATGAGGAGGGAGTTCAATAGCCAAGACGAGAAAGAAGTGACTGGATGAGTAATTTTGCGGTTTCATTGGTGAGGAAGGGGCGTATTTTGGAGATGTTACGAAGGTGAAGGCGGCAGGATTTGGATAGTGATTGTATGTGGGGAAGGAAAGGTGAGATTAAGTGTGGGTGGGTGCTAAATATGATTATTGGTTCTTTATGAACTTTGAAAATATACCTTTTAGGATGATAAGAACTTAGCGATGAAACATACTATTTTAATTGCATAAAAATAAAAATAAATAATAGAAAACAAAGCAATTGGTTATCGAATAAGTATAATATGATATGATGCAAATTATAACATAATGATGTAAAAAGAGAAGTAAAAGAATAAGTACCGTAAGTTCTCAAGTCAGTTTGGGTGCGTAGATGTGCATATGTGGATGTGCGTAAATAGCAGTGCCTCAGAGTCCTAGTACTGAGCATATATGTATTTATTTATAATTGGTATTTATATAGCACAAACAATTTACCCATTGCTTTACGTAGTGCACTTTCACATCAGTCCCTGCCCTCAAAGAGCTTACAATCTAAGGTATATATTGTATGTAACACATTTTAAATTTGAATCTCCCTCTTTAATGACCAGTTGACGTGTAGAAGAGGGAGTGCCTTCAGCACTTAGTAAATGTAACCTAGAAGTTGATGCATTCTCATAGCTATCATTTGGACCAAATAATATTGCATATACCAACAGAGTTATATATAAGATAATGTTCTTTCAGATATTTTTGCCCTAATCAGGAAATTTTACCGTAGAATGATGGAACTCATAATTTATATTACTTATAAACCTTTGACATTGAATGAATATAGTATCCCCTTTCTTTACAAATCTGGAACAAAATTAAAATTGGTCACAGTTGTTTAGGGCCCTTCACATACATAACATGGAAAGCGCTGAGCTAACTGTTGGCGCTATATAAATCCTGTATAATAATAATAATAACATAACGCTCTAGAATTCTTTAGTTTCATTAGAGATATGGATTAATATAAAAATTAATATTTACCAATCTAACAGGGGGAACTGAGCTTGTTTTCTTTTTTTTTTTTTTACCGGGAGAACCAAATGTTGTCTCTTTAACTGGAGTTGTGCTTTAAACATACCTTAAAAAAATTAAACAGCACAAATTATATACCAGGTTAAACTGTTTTAGATGGGACAATCAGATTGCTGAGATGCAGGTTTTGTAAGTGGATGCAAAACTCAGATGTCTACACCACACTCATTCAAGGCAACAGCCTGTCCCCTATTGACTAATGGCCTGGGGCATGGGTAGTCAAACTTCATGTGTTTTACCACAGCTGGAGGGCCAAAGTTTGGCTACCCCTGTCCTTTCTGTCATCCAGATCTTAGTAAAGTGACAGGTCTAAGACAACATTTTACCATTATCCATACCCACAGCTGTGACAAAATACTCAGGCTGCAAGGCAGTTTTCTGCTTTTGTTGACCTCCTGTGATCTCGGTGCCCTGACTGGAGTCACTGGAGGATGGCTTACATCCTCCTTAACATCATCAATTTCAATGTGCTTCTTCGTCCAAGTTCATTAGATGTTATCATCGCACACCGCGTCTCCAATAATAAACAAGCCGTCATGCTGGTTACATATTAACAAGGGGCCCCCTACAGTTCTAAGGAGTGGATCGTGTAAAGGCATAGAAACAATGCATAGGCAAGAATCCAGCATGCGTTCATAATCTGCACATTAAAGTGCATGTATAGCCAAAACATTTTTTTGTAACTTTAGATGGAGTAGGGAAGGCTTAGTCCCCAGCCAGGATTTGCTGTGCTCATTTGGTGAGTTTACCCAACAGGAAGTAGAGGAAATCTCTATAAAAGGGAAGGGATTCCCCCTCTTAGTTGGCACAGGTGTCACCTTTTGAAGATTTCCCCTCATTTGTTGTGGTGTCAGCTGTAAAATGTTGGTTTTTCTATCACTTTCTATCTGGTGCCAATGGCACAACGAGAGAAGGTGAATCCCCCTAGTAGGGACACAGAAGTTTTAAAGGTTGAGGTAGGGTTGCCACCTGTCCAGGATTCATCCTGACAGTCCAGGTTTTGAATGCTGTGTCCGGGTTTCATGGCAGCAGAAACCCATACACAAGATGTCAGGCAGACAGGGGCAACCAAAATTAGGATAGAGGCTACTGGCCCCCCACTGA